CCGCCCCGCTCGCGCTGGCGGCCAGACAAAGCAAACTCTGGTTGCATCACGGAGCAAACTCATTTTCCAGCAACCTCCCAGCCCGGAGTTTACCGCTACTGTAATCCGGTGCTGTCAACAACGCCGCCTTTGTTGCGCGCCCGTGCGCGCGGCTTGCTTGTTGGTTGGTTGTTGCTTTTTTTATTATTATTATTTATTTCAAGGAGAATTTTTGTTTTAAATGAGTAATCTGTTTTCGAGTGATTTCTCCTCTGCGCTGGCTCCACCCTGCACTGTAAACGAGACATTACCTTATACAAGAATGAATCTGCTGCATTCCTCTGTCTAGCTGCCTCGCAGCACATTTCCTACGCTCGCAGCAGCCCCGGCAGCGCACGCTCTCCCACCCCTTCCCCCCCACCTTTTTTTCTTTCCTTTTTTTTTTCCTTTTTTTTTTTTTTTTTCCTTTTCACTGCCTCGCTGTGTTTTTGTGTAAATGATCTCACATGACTCAACAAATCCATCTGCCTGGAGCAGGCCAAGTTTGGAGCCTTCCCAGGAGGGAGGAGAAGAATTGCTTTGTGGAAAGGACCTGGAGCTTTGCCCTTTCTCTGGCTCAAATTACCCGCCTGTCAGGCCTGACAGATTTGGCTAAAAATAAAAGGAAGCGGGCCGTGAAAAGGAGATGAATGAGCTCAGCAGTTCCTTAGATAACATGGGCCTGGTGTTGCCCAAAGCTCCCAGAGCAGGAACTTCAGATGCCGGGCATGTGAGTGTGGTGCTGCAGCCTAGGTGAACTTGGCTGCTCGGGGACCCAAAAAAAAAAAAAGGGGGGGGGGGGGGGGCAGAAAAAAAAGGGCAAAAACAACCATACGCTGTTGGAAATAAACGGATTAAAGACACACAGAACGGGAAAACTGCCTGCTGTAGGTTTTGAGCTTGTAAAAGGAGAGATTTACAGCATTTCCAGTGGGGAAAGGGGGCGTACGGGGGTGTGGCGGGGGGATGCACGTGATGTCAGCCTCCCGCCCTGCCCGGGGAGCCTCAGCATCCTCCCTGCAAATGCCTGCCCAGCGCCCGCAGCAGGTATTAAGCACTTAGTTTGGCAATGTAATGACACACTGCAACAATCTGTAATGTGAGGCAGTCAGCAAAGCCCTGGCTCGCAAAGCTCTTTCTCCTAACCATTAACCATATGTTTGGCTCTGCTGCCGCCCGAGCGAGCGGGTGTTCCAGCGCACCATCTGGTTTCTATCCACACAAGCAACTGCAAAGCACAGAGTATTTGCGCGGCCCCCCACTCCTCCACTCCCCATTTTCCTCCTTCACCCCCTTTCAAGCGGCAGCCTCCTCCCCGCCCGGCCCCCCACTCCTCCCCTCCCCATCTTCCCCCTACCCCCCTTCCCCCTTTCAAGCGGCAGCCTCGCCTCCCCGCCGCGATGCTCGAAGCGCTGGGAACCGCGGCCACCCCACCGAGGATGCGGCAGAAGAGCAGGGATGCTGAGGCGTGCCGTCCCCCGTGAGCTCGCACCTCTGCACAGGCACACACACAGAGAGGGAGAGCATCTCTCAGCGTCGATGCTTGTTAAAAAATAGGCGTGTTCTTGACCGGTCCAGGAGCTGCTGCAGTGCCCCTCGCATCTCACTCACGCACACACGTGCACAGGGAGCGTTCAATTTGGATTACATCAACTCCATCCCGACACTGCAAGAAGGGCTTCAAGAATGAACCTAACAACAGGAGGACAATTAGCAGTTTTATCTCCTGCCCCCAAACAGGGCTTTCTAGGCACATCGGGTGTCGGTCCCCCATCCCACCAAATTAAGAAGATTCTGGGGAAAAAAAGGAAAAAAAAAAAAAAAAAGGAGAAAAAGGAAAAAAAAAAAAAAGAGGAATGGAATGAGAGCGAGCTGAAGAAAAAGGGATTAAAATATTTACTTTTCCTGTGATAACTAAACAAGCTCTTTCTGAAACTATTAAAAAAGCTTTGAAGCGTTATATTTTAGAAGACCTTGTACCATATGTTTGCTTTATCATTTTATGAATTCTAACTACTATTTATGTTTTTAAAGCACTTCCATCCTTCTGTTTATTTCTGAAGTCACCTATGGGAGATCAGTAGTAATTTTCCTCTCAGGTTGGCCAATTTAAGATTAATTGTGACCTAATGCAAGTATTCAAGGATGCAAGCAATAGGATATTCAGCAAATCTCACACTTGCGCCTTTAAAATAAGTTTATATTCTGCAATGAGTCACACATACAGTGTTTATCCAAGTTACCAGTGCTACAAGAAAAAAAAAAAACATTACATTTGCAAATACATACAAATCGCAGCTGTAAGCACCCAACTGCTTATACCAGGACTCGTTTCTATGACTGGATATTGATTTTTTAATAATGTGTCATTATACCAATGTTGATACAGCAACTATCTTCCCGGAGTATGCAATTTAATATTAAAAAGAAGCTGGCTCTAGGAAATATCAAATCCGCACCCATTCACATGCTATTTAAACATCCTTCTTGGTCATGAACATAGCAATGCAAAGCCACAACGGCGTTTTTCCCACCTAGCACCTAACAAAGGACTCGCCAGTTAAAAACAGCTCCGTCTAAGGCAAATAGCTCTGCTATCTGCTTCTCAATAAAATACTGCAGAACCTCTCCAATCGGCGCTGGAAACCAAGAGGCTACATTAAAAAAGATGCATGTTTTTCGAATCTCCTCATATGTGTGAGAAATCAGTGCACGAAAAAGCACGCTGTAGGCCCTTATCCTGGAATCAAATACACGTGGGGAAAACCCATATGCTTGTGAAAAGCCTGATGACTTCACTGGGATTGCCTAAGAAGTTTGAGGGTAGGATCTGGCCCCAATTATGAACGTGGAGTGCAATTAGCACTGTAAACTCCCTCCCTTCATCTTCTGCTCCCCCTCAGTGAGGGAAATAATTAAAATGATGAAAAAACATAAGAGATGCATTTTAGCTAGCAACTTACATTTCCTACAAAATAGAGTCTAACTGTGTTAAAGTCCATTATTTTAAGATAAGATTGTTGCAAACATATTAGTAGCATGCTTACAATCACACATTATGTTTGCTACAGTCATGCAACAAGAAGTTGTCTTCATTCACACGCAGAAACAACCAGCGGTACTCCTCTAAAGCAGTAAAGGTCTAGGTCTGGGTCGTCTAGCACATAAAGATCTCTGATCCAGAAATCTTTTAGAAAGGAGAATTCAAGGGAAATATTCATAGATTCAGAGTTGTGCAGTCTGAAGGGACAGCTAATCATTTGACCTTCTTCCATAAAACAGGCATGGAGCTTCCCCACCTACATCGACGCAGCTGTAAGAGGTTGAATTAGAGAATCTCTAAGGTTAAAAAAAAAAAACCCATAAAACCAAAACAGAACAAAAACCGAACAGCCTCAGATTTAATAGCCTGACATAAGGGAGGAAGCTACCACAGCCCCAGAAACGTTGTCCTATTCAGCAGTCACCCGTGCTGCAAGAGCACTCACACCCTCTCGCCTGGTCTGAATTAATTTAACAGCCAGCCACGGGGTCTTGTTATACCTTGTCACCTTCCTCTACTCCTCAATCCCTGACAAAGGGCCACTGTCAGCTTGAAACCCAGACAGTTTTTAAAGCATAATAAAAAGCAGTATCACATTATTACCTGAATCCACTGAGTCCTCCTGCCAACAATGTTGTTTTCGCAATCACATTTTTCTGTTTTTAAAAACTTCTCTCTTGCCTCATCGTTCTGTGTGAAAAACAACACAAAAGAGAAAACTGATTAACTGCACATGATTATCTATTATTTGCATTACAGCAGTTGGCTTTCCCAGCAGATATTTAGGTCTTCTTTTTTTTCTGCCACGTGTCATAAAGATACTAAAACAAGAAAAAAGTCCTTTCCCCAAAATTGCTCATTGACCAAACAGAAGCGACAGAGAACAATTTGGAGGGGCGGCCAAGGTACCACAGCCCATCACTTGTAGAGCTGCAGAGGAGAACGCAGCTCTCCCGTGCCCAAATCCTCTGCCCCCTCCCCAGGGCATCCTGCCTGGCAGTGCCGGGACCAATGCCAAGCAGATACTCAGTGCCACCAAACACAGAAATATGGGGGAAGAGAGAGCTGCTTAAGTTTCTTTCAGTTTCAACAGTAAATACATGCCACTAATAACCACAGCAGCAATGTAAAAATAATACTTGCAAAATTACATCGACAGTAAATTACTTAATCATACAGTTTTCCTGAACTTTGCACCTACAACATTATTTAAGTAGTGACTCCGCTTAAAATTCTCGAAAGGGTCTTTTAGTGCCTGTGTTTACTCCTCACTTCACGTATTAGTAGCTTTAAGCTTCAACGTCAAATTCTCCTGCCAATACACCAATGAACCAAAATGTACGCTTCACTTAAATAAGGAAGAAAAAAGCCCATATAGTAGAAACCCAACTGAAGTTAAAACCTCAAAAAACCCCACCAGCCTCTCTAAATGGCCAGAAGACACATCATAAGTAAAGAAAAAATGTAACTGGATTTTCAGTACTGGAAATACCATTAACATCAGTATTCCATCACTTTCTCTGAAAGCAAACAAAACAAAACCCTTCACTTAAGGAGATGCAACTCAACCATCTGTACATGATCCCGTGCCTACCTCCACAAGGGCACATGAAATAAACACAGCCACGCAGCACAGGGTGGGGAATGTGGCTGTGATACCCCTCCTGTGATTTCAAGGCTTGGGCATTCGGCATACTCTGTCCATCGTCGACATGGATGTCTGCCCAAAAGTTTTGTTGCAAGGTTTTGGTTGCAGTGGTCTGATTGAGCCATTCCCGAAAAAGTGTCTGGAAAGACTCAACAAATTCTGGCAAGCTCTGGAACAGAGAGTTCAAACCTGGGACTAGCCAGGTGCCGCACGAAGCAAAGAGTCTAGTCCAGGGCTGAGGAGGAGAGAGGTGGCCTTTGCCTCTGGCATCTGCTCCCGACTGGGCAGGGCCGCCTCCTGAGCAAGGACAGGGATCAACCCTCTCCCCTGCTCCAGGTGACCTCCCTGCTGCAGCCCCGGCAGCGTGGAGCCATCTATGCTCAATGCAGAGCAGCCAAGAGCTGGGCCAGGGGAGGCAGGGGAAAAATATGTCAGAACGAGAAATTCCACTTAATGGAGATGGAAAAATTGGAGGTAGGATGGGGAAAGAGCAACAACCTGGTTAGGCACGAAGGGCTGCACGGTGGCTGTGCAGCTGCAGCACTGCCCATGAATCGTGTTCCAAGCCTCTACGATGCCAGTGGATGCCGTTTGCCATTTGTTTGCTTCCTGCCTTTTTTCTTTGGTGCACCAAAACTACGTTGCAAGAGAGAGCATTGATGAGTTGAAGCACTGAAAAGGGAAGGAAACGTGGCAGGCAAGCGCTGCCTGCAGCAGCTCCCTTCACCCTCATCCCCTGCTGCGCTCGGCCCATGGGACGTACCTGAGCCATGCATCAGGTCTACGGAATAAGCGCAGGACAACTCTGACAGTTGCTGGCAGCGAAGACGGCAGCCACCCCGCCGCTCCCTGCCATCCCTCTCAGCGCTCAGACAGATGAGCTGAGCCTTGGAGAGCTGCCACGCAGCTCCAGTGCAGCACTGCTCCAGTCATTTAAACCCAGCATCTCCCAAATGGCCATTAATGGCGAGTTCCTAACCAACCTGAAACCCTGGCTGCTCTCAAGCAAAACTAATGAACACTCGCAGCAAAAGGTAACCGTATTTCCGGTACATGAAATACTACGTAGTACGGAGACATCTCAGCAGCAAGGCTGTGAGATCCTCAAGATCCTTTGTCCTCTTGTTTTAACTCTCTTCCTGTAGAGAAGTGGCAACGTTTCCCAAATCATTTGTCAAACCCTCAAGCCTGACACTGATGAACAGAAAAGTTCATGAGGAAATGACAAGCTTCTTCAGTAGGATTTGAGTAGTGTGCCATAAATGAAAGCCTGGGGCCAAACACAGAACAGCAGGGAAAAACCAAGACACTGAATAGGGTGTTTGCCCAGGGCTTGCAGCTACAGCTGTATGCTCGGCACTAGGCAGGGGACTTGTGGAAAGAGCAGGGTGCCATCACATAATTGAAAACTGTCCATGCATTCACAAGACTTAAAATTAGGGCTGCACAAATCCTTTTTATATCTCACTGAGTTGCACTCTGATTGTAGTTATAGTATTTTAAGGTATTTGTGTATGAAAATAAAATTAAGAGCAAAGACCTGAAACCGCCCTAGATATTAATGCTTGACCAACCTGATCTCCTTCTATGACCAGGTGACCCGCCTAGTGGATGAGGGAAAGGCTGTGGATGTGGTCTACCTGGACTTCAGCAAGGCCTTTGACACTGTCTCCCACAGCATTCTCCTCGAGAAGCTGGCGGCTCACGGCTTCGACAGGTGTACTCTGCGCTGGGTCAAAAACTGGCTGGACGGCCGGGCCCAGAGAGCTGTGGTGAATGGAGTTCAATCCAGTTGGCGGCCGGTCACGAGCGGTGTTCCCCAGGGCTCAGTTTTGGGGCCGGTCTTGTTCAATATCTTTATCGATGATCTGGATGGGGGCATTGAGTGCACCCTCAGTAAGTTTGCAGACGACACCAAGCTGGGCGGGAGTGTTGATCTGCTCGAGGGTAGGAAGGCTCTGCAGAGGGACCTGGACAGGCTGGATCGATGGGCC